GTTGAGCTCAGCGAGTACGACCTCTAGTACAAGCCGCGAACTGCCATTAAGGCCCAAGCCTTAGCAGATTTCATAGCCGAATGCACATTCAGCTCTGAAGTCCCCAGGCCGGTTGAGCATGAGGCTCCCATTTCAGGTGAGCCCGAAGCTCCCAGGCTGGTCGAGTCCGAACCTCGTGAGGTAGCAGCCAGTGTGGCATCTCTCCTAATTCGGCCAAGCGCGAGCTGGGATGAGGAGCCCTGGATCCTTCACGTAGATGGCTCCTCGAACCAACAGGGAAATGGAGCCGGAATTGTTCTGCACGGCCCAAGTGGCATGAAACTGAAGTACGCGCTACGCTTCGAGTTTGCGGCATCTAACAATGAAGCGGAGTACGAGGCGTTGATAGCTGGACTAGCCCTAGCTAGAGAAGTAGAAGCAAAGCACATCATTATCTGCAGCGACTCCCAGCTCGTGGTCAACCAGGTCACCGGTGAGTATGAAGCTCGCGAGCCAACCATGATAGCCTACTTAGCCAAAGTCAGAGAGGCCCTACTCAACTTCCAGTCACACTTTGTCAGGCAAATCCCAAGATCGGAGAACACTGAGACCGATGCCCTGTCCAGATTAGCCAACGCCAGCGACATCACCATGAGAACCGTGTACATAGAGGACTTGCCTCAGCCTAGCATTCTCAGGGGGGCAGAGGAGGTCGCTCCCGTCGTTCAAGCAGAGCCGAGCTGGATTGACCCACTCGCGAGCTTCTTGCTACACGGGACCCTCCCTGCAGATCACAATTCAGCCAGAAGGGTGCAGCGCCAGGCAGCCAAATATGTCATGATAGACGAACGACTATACCGGAGATCTTACACGCTCCCCTACCTGCGTTGCTTGCGACCTACCGAAGCTGAGCTCATCCTCCACGACACTCATGAGGGATTGTGCGGCGGACACTTGGGGGGCAGGGCCCTCGCCTAGAAGGCACTTCGACAGGGGTATTATTGGCCAACAATGAAGCCAGACGCTATTGAGCTTGTTAAAAAATGTGACAAATGCCAAAAGCACACCAATATTCACCACCAACTTGCCGCCGATCTCAAGTATCTCACCAGCCCGTGGCCCTTCGCACAATGGGGCATCGATCTACTCAGGTCATTCCTGCCAGCAACGGGTGGGAGGAAGTTCTTAATAGTAGCAGTGGACTACTTCACCAAGTGGGTAGAAGCTGAACCCCTTGTAACGACCACAGCCCGGAACACCCAAAACTTTTTTTGGAAGAACATCGTGTGCCGCTTTGGGTTACCTCGGGTATTGATTTCTGACAACAGCAAGCAGTTCGAGGACATCAAATTCCAAGACTGGTGCCAAGACATGGGAATCCGACAGAATTTTACTTCAGTCGCACACCCTCAAGCAAACGGTCAGGCAGAAGTCACGAACAGAGCCATCCTCCGTGGACTGAAGGCACGGCTGGACCGGGCTAAAGGGTTGTGAGTAGATGAGTTACCTAGTGTCCTATGGGCCTACCGGACCACAGAGAAGACCACCACG